AACTTTCTGGCAGAGGGCAGCAGATTTTCCAAGAATTTGACAGTATTTTGCCCCATCCATTTTTCCTTCTATCCTGATAAGTGCTCCAGTCCCTGCTGCAGAGAAACACCCCATAACAAGATATTACCACCTCCATGCTTTACTGTAGGAGTGCTGTTATTTGGATGGTGAGCTGTATTGGATTATTGCCAGACATCGTTTGGTGTTGAGGCCAAATAATTAAATTTTAGTCTCATCTGCCATCTGCAAAGCTCGGTCGTGACTGCATGTGGCCTTTCTTGAGGAGTGGCTTTTTTCTTGCAACCCTCCCATACAAGCCACATTTGTGGAGAATTTGTGATATTGTTGTTACCTGCACACAATGCAAAGCACTGTAGGAGTGCTGTTATTTGGATGGTGAGCTGTATTGGATTATTGCCAGACATCGTTTGGTGTTGAGGCCAAATAATTAAATTTTAGTCTCATCTGCCATCTGCAAAGCTCGGTCGTGACTGCATGTGGCCTTTCTTGAGGAGTGGCTTTTTTCTTGCAACCCTCCCATACAAGCCACATTTGTGGAGAATTTGTGATATTGTTGTCACATGCACACAATGCAAAGCAACAAAATTTGATTATTTTAAAGGGGGTGATTCTTTTCTATACCCACTGAACGCTACTTATATCAGCAAAAGTCAGACTATCGATTTTACTATTCTACTTTAAACATGTAATACTGTCCCTAATAAAGTTAGCAGCCAATAGGCAAAAATCTACAATTGCCTTTGGCACCTAACAAGTGTAAATGTTGGACCCTACCTGCATCCCACACCAGAGACCAGTATTTGAAACACAACGCATTCTGGTGATTGCCCATTCTGGTCTTTTCAACAGGCTCTTTACAGGTCATGACCGTCAACACAGCTGCCTCTTTTGCAGATGTCATCATCCCAAAGTAAAATGACACTGTTGGGATAAATTGCCATTCATGTGCTCCATATTGCCCTAAATGCATTATATTTAATTGGCGTAGAGTGTTGTGTGGCAGCTGTACCTCTGCTAATTGTGTTTCAGATGTTCCAGCGACGTCAGAACGGTTTGACTGATTTCTCCAGGAAGTGGAGTGACTACAAGATCGGCTTTGGCAACCTGGAGGATGAATTCTGGCTCGGTGAGAAGACGTGAAATACACTTGAATTATAGACAGAGCAGTTAGAGCTGTCTGGGGAAAAAAGCTGCTACGTGATGACCAATTAAAAATATACTCGTTTAAGGCCCCATTAATCTCTTCAGGCTGATCTAAATTTGGTCAGCACTTTCTCGCAAATGTCTGAGTTTTATTGAAGCTTCAGTCCTGGAAATGTAACTCAGTGATGAGTTATCTTGACCAGCAATGAGAAGGTTTCTTTATTTAAATATTAGATAGGCATTTTGGGAAGCCATTTATAACTTCATACTAGTACTCAACCCTTACTTGCTTCAGGGACACTCTATAACTCACCTATTTACTTGAATTATACGGATCACACTTTCAAATGAGAGACAGTTTGGTGCTGCTCTGAATAAAGATGAAAATAACACAAAGTCTTCTAGCACTGTGTGAGGCTGCATCAAATCACCATCCTTTGAAAATGTCCATGTGCCCTCCCGCATACGGTATCTTGTGTTTGTATGGACTCTGTGCTTCCCGGACCCCTTAGTCTGTCATGGTGACTCTGAGCTTTCAGATTCTATTTAAATGATCTGGTAATTATTTTCATCAAAATCCAGTTTGATGGAAAACAATAGAGTCCCTTTCCCTTTTTATCCCTGATGCATTAATCTTATTAGAAAGCTATAATTATATTCATTAAAAATCAGGGGGAAAAATAGCATTTGTGCTCGGATTTCAAAGCATTGCCTCAATTACAGATAAAAAGTAAACTACAAATTATGCCTCTGCAGACATTTATGCATGGATAATATATGTAAATCAAGCGTAGCGTTAGTTCTGGCAGGTCACGTGAGTCAATAAGCTTGCATCAGCTGACTCTCAGCTGATCCACGTCTACCTATTGTAATACGATGCCTATCACGGCATTCCTATAAGGTCTATTCTCTATTATTAACCTCGAAGAAACAAAGCAACAAAGCAATCTCTGCGTCCGATTCCCTTCCGCGCCTTGAATTCTCTAGACTGTTGGAAGCTGCTCCAGTATTTACGCGGTACTACCTCTTGCCTGATTGTAACCCTACTTTTTAATGTTTTGTTCCTCCGAAATGTTCCTCTTTTTTATCTGCCATCTCTCGCTATCTATAGTCGATCTGCTATTATCCATCCTGTGCACCACTCACTGAGCGCGCTCTTCTCCCTATCATTACTAGACACGCCCCTTACTGCTGATTGGCTGCGAGTTTGTTTTGGGACTCGGTCCGACACAGTGGTCAAAAGCGTTTTTCAAAAATCGCTTAGTGCACCTTTAACACACAGTATGTACATTTCACTACTAAAGGATGTTATTCAAATGCTAAAACACCATCTGGGTAAGGGCAACATGCTTGTTGCTTAAAATTCTGGTATTGACCATATGCTTGTTGCTTAATCTTTTCAGGTACTGCATTAAAGGGGCATGCTGCTCTTCTCAGCCACTTAATAAAGAAGAGCACCCCCTTTTGCTGCTACTCTCCTCCTGTAAGGGGCATGCTGCCCCAACCTCTGCGGTTTCAGAAGGACATGCTTCTCCTTTCAGATTTGCCATCAGTTTGTGGTTGGGGGGTGTCAGCCTATGATTTGTTTTGGGGGTTATTGCTGCTCTCGCTGCTCATTCATGACAAGCTACATGGATGATCGGGGAGTTTTTACCCAGAACTGAACCATACCACCAAATCCAAACTGTATGCAAAGTGTCAATCATTTTGACGATAGTAGTCCTGAGAGAAATCAAGCGTAGCATTAGTTCTGGCAGGTTACGTGAGTCAAGACTGTCAGCTGATCCACGTCTACCTATAGGAATACGACAGCTATCACAGCATTCCTGTATAAGGTCTATTCAGTATTATTCAACAGCTTTATCGCTTGCTCAGGAGCAAATTACCCTCCTCCATCCCCAACTCCTCCTTTCTTCACAGTCAGGACTTGGCTTTCTAATATTCCTTGTTGAATCAGACACTAAAATGTCAGTAAGAACATTAATGATATCTGCATTCTGTTCTGTCCTGTTTACCCAAGGGGTTATTGCTGCTCTCGCTGCTCATTTGTGAATTGAGTGTCAAGTGTCAATCATTTTGACGATAGTGGTCCTGACAGAACGACAGAACTATATTTAGTGTGGAAGGAGCTCATTTGAAACATTTCAGCTCATGAACAGAAAGTAAATACTGTCTGCAGCAGTTCTGCATTGGTTCTTTTGAAGAGTGTCTTCTTCAAGTACAATATACATATGCAACTACAATAGTGAAATTACTTTATGACTGTTATGTTGGAATAGAAGTTGTGGTAAATAATCACTAGTATGCCTTCTTACCGTAGGCTAGGGCTGTGTGGCCAGTACAAATTCCGCTGTAGCTCTGTAATACCACAGTGTGATTTTAAAAAACCAGAGCTGAAAATAGTCTATTCTGCATAAACTGCGACACAGAAGAGTGCTTATATTATATATTTAGTTTTACCACAGTGTGAAACACGCTTGTATTTGGTAGAAACATGGTCTAACTGTAGGTTATTTATGGTCATTTATGGTATCACAACTTCTTGTGTCTTTGGCTTTTCAACCTAGCTGTTATGTAATGTTAAGCTGTTTTTGTAATGGTGCCAGACTTATTCATTTTTGAAAAAATCTTAATTTTGTTTGTGCCCATCAAGTTCCATATAAAATTACAACTGGCTGTTTTATTTTTCTGTTATTTGTGGGTTGAATTTCCTGCTAAAATAAGTATATTTTGATATACCCGACTATTCAAAAGTTTGGGGTCATTATTTTTTATTTTATTGTATTTTATTTATTTATTTTTTGAAAGAAATTAATACTTTTATTCAGCAGGGATGAATGCAATTGATCAAAAGTGACAGTAAAGGCATTTATAATGTTACAAAAGATTTTTACTTAATTTCCTTTGAACTTTCTGTTAATCAAAGAAAAAAAAATCATGGTTTACACACAAATATTAAGCAGCACATCCATTTTCAACACTGACAATAATAAGAAATGTTTCTTGAACACCAAATCAGCATTTTAGAATGATTTCTGAAGGATCATGCACCTTTCTTTTTTAGCTACATACTACAGACCTACATCCCCCGCAAACACTGTCTGTTCATCAATCACACAACCTGGCAGACACAAAAGTTGCTGCCCTGCTCCATTCAAGCATCCAAAGTAGAGAGCACGTCTGTGTTCCCATGGTGCTTCTCACTTCTGCATGGTCCTTGGGCTTTCCTTATAAATACGATGCCTATCACGGCATTCCTATAAGGTCTATTCTCTATTATTAACCTCGAAGAAACAAAGCAACAAAGCAATCTCTGCGTCCGATTCCCTTCCGCTCCTTGAATTCTCTAGACTGTTGGAAGCTGCTCCAGTATTTACGCGGTACTACCTCTTGCCTGATTGTAACCCTACTTTTTAATGTTTTGTTCCTCCGAAATGTTCCTCTTTTTTATCTGCCATCTCTCGCTATCTATAGTCGATCTGCTATTATCCATCCTGTGCACCACTCACTGAGCGCGCTCTTCTCCCTATCATTACTAGACACGCCCCTTACTGCTGATTGGCTGCGAGTTTGTTTTGGGACTCGGTCCGACACAGTGGTCAAAAGCGTTTTTCAAAAATCGCTTAGTGCACCTTTAACACACAGTATGTACATTTCACTACTAAAGGATGTTATTCAAATGCTAAAACACCATCTGGGTAAGGGCAACATGCTTGTTGCTTAAAATTCTGGTATTGACCATATGCTTGTTGCTTAATCTTTTCAGGTACTGCATTAAAGGGGCATGCTGCTCTTCTCAGCCACTTAATAAAGAAGAGCACCCCCTTTTGCTGCTACTCTCCTCCTGTAAGGGGCATGCTGCCCCAACCTCTGCGGTTTCAGACGGACATGCTTCTCCTTTCAGATTTGCCATCAGTTTGTGGTTGGGGGGTGTCAGCCTATGATTTGTTTTGGGGGTTATTGCTGCTCTCGCTGCTCATTCATGACAAGCTACATGGATGATCGGGGAGTTTTTACCCAGAACTGAACCATACCACCAAATCCAAACTGTATGCAAAGTGTCAATCATTTTGACGATAGTAGTCCTGAGAGAAATCAAGCGTAGCATTAGTTCTGGCAGGTTACGTGAGTCAAGACTGTCAGCTGATCCACGTCTACCTATAGGAATACGACAGCTATCACAGCATTCCTGTATAAGGTCTATTCAGTATTATTCAACAGCTTTATCGCTTGCTCAGGAGCAAATTACCCTCCTCCATCCCCAACTCCTCCTTTCTTCACAGTCAGGACTTGGCTTTCTAATATTCCTTGTTGAATCAGACACTAAAATGTCAGTAAGAACATTAATGATATCTGCATTCTGTTCTGTCCTGTTTACCCAAGGGGTTATTGCTGCTCTCGCTGCTCATTTGTGAATTGAGTGTCAAGTGTCAATCATTTTGACGATAGTGGTCCTGACAGAACGACAGAACTATATTTAGTGTGGAAGGAGCTCATTTGAAACATTTCAGCTCATGAACAGAAAGTAAATACTGTCTGCAGCAGTTCTGCATTGGTTCTTTTGAAGAGTGTCTTCTTCAAGTACAATATACATATGCAACTACAATAGTGAAATTACTTTATGACTGTTATGTTGGAATAGAAGTTGTGGTAAATAATCACTAGTATGCCTTCTTACCGTAGGCTAGGGCTGTGTGGCCAGTACAAATTCCGCTGTAGCTCTGTAATACCACAGTGTGATTTTAAAAAACCAGAGCTGAAAATAGTCTATTCTGCATAAACTGCGACACAGAAGAGTGCTTATATTATATATTTAGTTTTACCACAGTGTGAAACACGCTTGTATTTGGTAGAAACATGGTCTAACTGTAGGTTATTTATGGTCATTTATGGTATCACAACTTCTTGTGTCTTTGGCTTTTCAACCTAGCTGTTATGTAATGTTAAGCTGTTTTTGTAATGGTGCCAGACTTATTCATTTTTGAAAAAATCTTAATTTTGTTTGTGCCCATCAAGTTCCATATAAAATTACAACTGGCTGTTTTATTTTTCTGTTATTTGTGGGTTGAATTTCCTGCTAAAATAAGTATATTTTGATATACCCGACTATTCAAAAGTTTGGGGTCATTATTTTTTATTTTATTGTATTTTATTTATTTATTTTTTGAAAGAAATTAATACTTTTATTCAGCAGGGATGAATGCAATTGATCAAAAGTGACAGTAAAGGCATTTATAATGTTACAAAAGATTTTTACTTAATTTCCTTTGAACTTTCTGTTAATCAAAGAAAAAAAAATCATGGTTTACACACAAATATTAAGCAGCACATCCATTTTCAACACTGACAATAATAAGAAATGTTTCTTGAACACCAAATCAGCATTTTAGAATGATTTCTGAAGGATCATGCACCTTTCTTTTTTAGCTACATACTACAGACCTACATCCCCCGCAAACACTGTCTGTTCATCAATCACACAACCTGGCAGACACAAAAGTTGCTGCCCTGCTCCATTCAAGCATCCAAAGTAGAGAGCACGTCTGTGTTCCCATGGTGCTTCTCACTTCTGCATGGTCCTTGGGCTTTCCTTATAGTTCCTCATTAGCTCATGACACTCGGTTACTCCTGAATGGTGTATTTAGGTGATGGGGCTGGAGTTCAACCATGCAAATAGGACAGTACTATAGAGATATGGTGTTATGGAAGAAGGCACAAAGTCATTCTGAAAAGTAATAGACTCCACTATTCTGTTCCAGGAGATTTCAATGCAGCCTTCCTGAACTGATTTTTTTTTTAAAAAGCTATTTTCTTTGCAATGCATTTGAAAATTAGAGTGTTTTTCCTCAGAGGACACAGAACTAGTTTTATGTGTATTTTCAGTTTCTGCTTGGAAACTAATAAGCGTACAGCCTGTTCTTTATTAACCA